AATTTGTGTGTTTAATATCCGTAATCGATTATTCGTTTTGGGACGGAATTCAAGTATAAATCGCTAACAAGTGGTATCAGAGAACTAGAGACAACACCTCTTTATCTAGCTTACTCTCACTCTCTTTGAGCTGCCATGAAGCGCTCAAAAGCGGCTTAGGCCAACTAAGAAGCGATGCCTCTGTTTTATACTAAAAACAGAGTCGGTTACTTAAAGGGGGCTCTCATATGAATCTCCACCTTGAGCCAAGCTTGAAGTCTTCTGTATATTGCCCCTTAGAACCTTGCATCTGGTTCTTGACTTGGCATTTTGGTCTTCTATAAACCTGCATAAGTTTGAACTTACACATAACAACAGTCTTAGTAGATTAATCACCATAAATCCACTTAAACCATCAATGACTAGGCATCATGTTTAATGAACTCCAAATGTGAAAATCACACTGCTTTCCTGAGTCACCAACCTCCACATGTCTCTTCTTGAGTTGTAAAACTAGCTACTACACTTCCTGTGTTAAGCTCAACTAACCATTTGTTTCATGAAGAGACAACTACATAGACACGGTTTTTTTCTTAAACTCTCTCAAGCTCTTTGTTTGCTATTTTTTTCAGACGATTATTTCAGCAATGGTCTCCATCAATAATGTAACATCTCATTTTAGACCTGTTCCTCTGCTTTTCTATTGGCAATGGCCACATTTTGCTTCTCTTCATTGCTCATCTCCACAGTCTTCTTCTTCCTCTCCTCCTCCGCTTCGGTTTTCTCGGCTTTGTTGTTTCTAAAGTATACCAAGTACAGTATCGGTTGCAACGTCCCTAATGCACATCCGAATCTATCTGGAATATGTAAAGAAAAATTTCACAACAACTCAATAGAAAAACCTGAAAGAAGAAAGCTTGAGTGAAGAAAAAGATACTCTTTTATTGATGTATTTTCCCTTAACCTTTTACAATAGCTCACTCTCTCATATTTATACAAGGATTCTTTCTAGGGTTTTAGAGAGGAAACATCTCGAACTTCTGACAGATGTCAGTCACATATTTCATCATCAATTGAGGATAAGAATGCGAAAATCTGTTGAAAACTTTGGTTTGACCCTCCGTACATTGCCTTGCTCTGCCTTCCTCTGTGTTTCGTTCTTTGTCTTTTTCCTCAAAGAGAGATGACCGTTGTAACTTGTCGTTTTCCTTCTTTTCAAACATATCAGCTTTGGGCCCCGTCTTCTTTTGTTTCTCCTTTGGCCCAATAGACTCCACTTCGACTTGTTTAGCCTTTTGCACAAGACTCTCTGCTTCGACCAGAGTCTTTGCTCTACGAATTGAATCCGAACCCTCTATTCCATCTAGAGACTTCACCGAAGAGTAGTTCTCTCTTACAAAACCTTTGAAAAGGAAACTAACAAACTTACTGCAACAAAAGGATCCTTCCCAATGAGACCATAAACAAACCATGAGGCTCCACAGAGGAACACACAAAGAAACAAGAAGAACGGCATGAACTCTACACTCTTTGTCTTTATCACCAATCTCTGAAAT